GAGCCAGCACTTCAGCACATGACTGTTAAGGCCTTGAAAGGAACATGTGCTCCGGGTGTTCGCCCATCGCAGGCTGCCGAAGTCTCGCAGGGCTGGGTGCGGCGGGGGCCCTGAGTTCAGGTTACAGTCACCCCGCGGACTGTAAAGTTCTAGAGGAGGTCGAGAAAGGCCCCTGGGTTCAGTTTTCCCATCACCTTCAATCGGGAGCAAGAGGGTGCACCGGGTCTCATGGCGGGAGAGCAAAAAGTTTTGGATTAGGGCTAGGGTTTTTGGACATACTACCCGGGGTTTGGCGTGGACAGGTTGTGGGACGGTGTGTTGGGTTTGGGACCTAGCCTCACCTTAGATTTGCCTTTGTCCTATAAAATCTGCCACACCAAGCCTCTTCCGAAGCTTTCGAGCCCCGTCCTGTAAAACTCCCACATCCTCAAGCATCGTGCCCAAACCCTGAACGGCCCTTAACCCTAAACCCGAAACCCTAAACCCTAAACCCCCAATAGACCCAAGAAGCTCCAAACGCTCTCAACCCAAACGGCCCCCTGATAGTGTTTTTTTGGGAGTTCGAACTGCTGGAAACCCTGAAAAAAAGCCCACACGCCTGTCCAGCTAACTAGTCAAATCTAACCGAATCTAATCTATATCTATATATTATCTATATCTATGTCTATATCTATGTCTATATCTATATCTACATCTAGAAAGCATCGAGAATCACAAACTACCAAGCTACACGACCATGAGCCCAGTAAGCGCTTTGACTCAAACCTAAACTCTGATCCCTCATTTCTACACCTGGTTCCAGGCTCTCGGACGCCGACCGAAAGAGGCTCGACGTCTCCGAGGACTGCGGTGCCTGGGTTCGGAGCCCCGGGGGAGTCGCAGGATCTTCAGGGGGCTTGAGGTTGGGGCTCGAGGTTTTTTTGGCTTCGTGTTGGTAATTGTGAGGGGTCCTACGATGATAAGAATTATAAGGGCCTCTCGGTAAGGCTTGAGACTCAGCTTGAGGGGTGGGGTGGGGCTAGCAGTACATAGAGGCTTGTTCTATCGATCTACAGGGCTTGCATAGGGGTCGTCGCACTAAAAACAAGCACCTTTGGATGTTGGGGTCAAGGCGGGTCAGAGGGACCACTGAGATTCAGGAGTACGATCCCGAGCGCACTAGTTTTTAGGATTTGTGCGGGGTTTTCGGCGTTAGTCTGTCGCAGTTTGCGAAGTCACTGTTGCATAGAGTTGGAGTGGGCCTTTGTGGCTGAGCAACGACATCTGGCATCTCGGTGCATGGTCCAACACAGGAGTGTATGACTAAATGATTCAGTTGATCATTATCAAAGCCGCCGCAAGACCGACAGAGTTGTAGAGAATTGGCTCTTGAGACTCCCGCCCCAAAAGCTGAAGCTGCAGGTGTCCAGGCCGGAGAATTAAGAAACACGAAAACCCCGAGCAATACCCCTGCCAACGCTGAGCCCTACTGTGTAGGTCCTGATCAACGGTCACGAGAAGGGCCTCGGGCGCTTGCTCGCTGCCTCTCCTCCGCCAGTCCCCCGAGCGTTTCTGCGTTTTCTCTGAGACTCTCAGCTTTTCGCGGGTCCTAGTCGAGATCAGCTTCCGACTGTATCTGGCAAGAGCTGGTGGGAAGAAACAGGAAGAGATGGTATGTTATAGTATATTATAGTATGTTATAGCATATTATGGTATATTATGGTATGGAAGTCTTCGATTCTCCCTGTTTCTCCAACTTCTCTGCTTCGAATCGCCAGCGTCCGGCGCAGAGCACAGCACCCCTAACTACGCTCCTGCCCAGGCCGCCGGAGCAGCTGGCGCCACTGGAGGAAGCCTAGGTTCCATTTTAGGAGCTTCCGCAGTGGAGCCGCTGGGGAAAATTAGTGGCTCAGGGCTCTGAGGTACGGGTTTTCAATGGTTCCGGAATGTCGGCTTGCGCTGCCTGCAGTGGGCGGGGAGGCTCGTTTAGGGCTCGTCGGCTCGTCTCCCTGCTCAGCCGACTGGCCTCAGACGGGGGGTTCCCGATGTCGGCAGAAGAGAAGGCGCCCGAAAGCCCTGATGCCGAGGCCAGATGTGGCTGAAGAGAGTGATGTTAGGCGATGCTTGCGGTTGCCCTGCATCCCAAGCCGAAGAAGAAAGGGAACCTGCACTTCGATAGAATCCGATAGAATCCGATAGAAGCTCTAGAAACCAGAAGCCCTACACCCTTGCAGCTGCCTCCTTGCGATTCGCTCGGAGGACTGGCAGCCGGTCCTGTCCTTTGACGAAGCCTTTGGAGACGAGACTGGAGACAATGCGACTTGTTTTCCGGTCTTCTAGATGGTTTGAGACTGCTTTAGATAGGGGCTTCAGGGGGTTTATCGGGTTCTATCGGGTGTTTATGCTTTCTTTTAGGGGCCTACTCGCAGTCTTAACGATGATGATTTCTGTCATCGTACTGCTGCCTTATTGGGAAGATTGTTCATGGTGCGTGAACCTGTCTATATTATCCATGCTGCGAATCCTAAACCCTAGAAACCTAAGCCCTAAACCCTATTATGTCTATATCCATCCATGCTGCGAAAACGACTGCTTGATGTGCAGGGGAGTCCGTGGCGTATGCTGGAATTGCAAAGCACATGTTATCAACCCACGTAGGTGGTGAAATTCCGAGCTCAAGATATGTTAGGTTTAGATTGTAGAATCGAAGGAATCCCCCTCCAGGATTCGAGTGGCTTGGCTTGGCTCACGGATTCGATTGGGAGAGACGCGAACGGCCGTCCCGAAAGAGTTTAATTCTTCGAGCCGAACCAGTACCTACCCCCCGCCCTTGACCCTAAACCGTAAACCCTAAACAAGAGTTTCGTGGGATAAGGCCAAGCCTTCCGTGTCCTCGCGGCGGAAACGGCGCCGTGCAGAGCGGGCGAGCATCCGCCGCGCGTCGCAATCAATCCCATGAGGGAGTTGCCATAAAAAGCCTTGCAGAACCCCTAAACCTTATAACCGACTTATAACCCTTTAATTTGCAAAACCCTATAACAGCAAAGTAGCATCGACCAGTGGTTTTGTGTCGCAACTGGGACTCTAAGAGTCGGTGCATGTCAAGGGTCCACTGTGCCCTAAACGCCCGAACACACCCTAATCTCCAACCCTGCACCCAAAAGCTTGAATGTGGCTTACAGTTGGGCAGACGGAAAGGGCCCCTTAAGAGAAAACGATTATTACTATTATTAGTATTTCTATTATTATTACTATTATTATTATTATTACTATTAATAAAAAGAGAAGAGCCTGAACCGACACCAGGCTCCGCCCATGATCGGGCAGGCACCCGAGAGCTCAGAGCCGTCTTCCAGGTCCTCCAGGCCCTGCTGTGTGAAGCGTCGAAACCCCGCGATCAGCTCAGCAAGCTTGCTGTCTACCCTAAGTTTAATTTAGATCCAGTGTGGGTGTGCCTCGTATATATTATGTGTAGAAATATATATAGATAGATAGATAGATAGGTAGGTAGATAGATAGATAGATAGATAGATAGATATATGCATATATACATGTATGCATATGTGTGTATATATATACACACATATATATATATATTTATTTATTTGTTTATTTTTTATTTACTGATATAAGTATTATAAAGAGATATTGCCATTAAAGAAGTTAGATGATGATCACGGTTCCTATTCAGCAGGAGTACTGCTCATATTCCAGGGTCGTCCTTGTGTTCATGTCGTGGGATATGTTGTAGATTCATGTTCGCTTTCAAATTAGACTGCTTCTGTACAGTAGGTTCTTTCAGCAAAAGCCGATTCCCATCCCCAAGAGAATACCCAATCCTGAGCCCTCAAGAAAAAACGTCAACCTGGAGCCCTGAAACCCTCAAGCATCCCAAGCCCTAAACCATCTAAGCGCTCACAAAAAACTGAAGGCCCCAGACCGTAAATCTCAAGTTTTTGCCATGCGCCCCGTGTTCATCATATAGTCTCATAAAGCCCCTATACAACCTCCAAGGGTCCCTTTTAGGGGTCTCTCCTTTAGTCCCGTGTTCTTCCGGAGAGGCCTTGCCGGCAGCTCTCCCTGGCTTGGGCCTGAACGGCGACAGGCCCAGTAGGGGGTACAAAAAGGGCATCATATGGGCATACCCGATGGATATAATTAAGGGTACTATAAGGGTACTATAATGGTCCTGGAAGATGTACTGTAAGTTTACGATCAAGGGTAGTACAAGGGGTACTTGATGGGTTTCAGGGTTTAGGGTTGAGGATTTTGTGGTTGCATGGTCTGTTCTGCACAGTTGGGGCTGCTGTGGGCTGCTCTTGCAGGACAGGGGCTTAACCCATAAGTTAACCGCCACTGCCACATAAGCATCACAGGCATAGCAAAGATAACGTAGGATGTCGGACAACATAATAACATGGGTGATGTCTTGCATTCTCGGTGAGAGAGGCCAGCTCTGGGAAGAGAAGGGGGCTACAGAGTCTTTGCCTTTGAGCCTGAAGCCGAAGATGCCAAAGCTTCCGAGCTGCCGGCAGCCAAGAAGCCGAAGGGCCGCAAGCACGCGCCCGAGGCAGCGGAGGTCGAAGCCATGCTGGAAGAAGCGGCGGCAGTCCTACGCACGGATTGCCCTTACGGGGCACTCCCGGAAGTCTTCGCACCGGCCGAGGGCCTTGCCATCCTGTCTGCAATGATTGACCGTCCACCGAAGTACCAGGAAAAGTACCTCGGCCAGGAGTGGTCCATCTTGACGAAAGTGTGGGCACTCGCCGGATCTCCTACGGGAGACGAAGGAAAGGACATAGCTGTGGTGGACATCGGCGCCGGGAACGGGAGCTTGGCTTTGCTGGCGGCGCTGCTCCTGGGGGGCCACGCCGTGCTCGTGGATCACACGCTGCCTCCGGAGCCGCTTCGCGTCGAGGGCCGGCTCCCCGCAAGCTACCAGCAGCGGATTCTCCGCGTCACCGGGGATGTGGGGGATCTGGATGCACAGGAGGCTCTGGAGCCGGTACTGGCCAAGCATGGCCTTGGCAGAGTGGTCGTGATCGCCAAGCATCTCTGTGGTGTGGGAACCGACCTGGCTCTGAAGTTGCTCCGGCGATGGCGTCGCGATGGCCTGACATCGGAAGCTCACCACGCAGAGGTCCTGGGAGCAGTGATTGCAACGTGCTGCGGCCACAAAATCGGCGCCGAAGACGCGCGGGTCTATCGTGAGATCCACTCGGAGGATCCCTACTTATCCCGGATCACCGGCCGAAGCGAGAGCTCTGCAAACGGCGAGGAGGGAGCCAGGCTGGAGGCTTTCCTTGGCATCTGCACCCGCTGCGTCGCCTGGCGCACCACTGCAGGGGCAAACGCGAATCGAATCACGGACAGGCAAGTCAAAGCAGCCGAGCTCTTCGAGGATGCGCTACAAGAGCCCCGCAGCTCGGCTGGAAAAGTATGTAGCGCTTATATAGAGTCATATATAGAATCATATCAATCGCCGTGGGTGGGCGGAGCTTGCTGCTGATGTGCTGCAGGACTGAACCTGCTGCGGAGCCTCTTTCCTGCGGCGACAGAGGTGGCCTTCGTCCCGGCGAAGCAGTCGCCTCAAAACCGCTGTCTGCTCGCCGGCTCACGCGAAGGCCTTGAGACGGCTCTGGCCCGGGCCCCAGAGCCCAGAGTGGGTCCCAAATTCGTGGCTTCCCCCATCCGCCGAGGCCACGGCGTCCGACTCCGATACTCAGGAGAAGGTGCTCTCCACGCTGATGCGAGCACGGCAGTGTCCTCAGTCATGCCTCCTCCATGATTTCCATGCTAAGCTGTGTTGTATCTAGGCATATATCATGGGCATGTATATAGACAATACAGACCCTCTAGGACATCCGGGTGCTCCTTCTATCTCCTTCTGCCAGGGATGCGCTGCTCTCGGCGTGTGGAGGTGCTCTGGACCTGCGGCCGCATGGACTGGTTTCGACCAGGATGGGCGAAGATACACTGAGCATGCAGAAGCGCGTTAAGAAAGTTAAGCAGCGTGTTTCAAAAGCACTTGGAGTGACCACTGCATCTTGAATCTTGTCAGCCCTTCACGCAGGTTCGACTATGATGGAACCTGATGACCGGACAAGACTGGGCCCCTGCATCTCTGGCGACTGCTGACGTAAGAGGGCGGGAAGCCTGCTCTGAGGCAGCGTAGTCTGCAATAGTACGCGGCGAAGCTTCTTTCAGCAACATCCCAGCCTGGGGTCAGGCCGCAGACATTGAGAGACATTGCGGCTGTGGTTGGATCGTGCTGGAGCGGCACGAAGACTCCATCATCAAGTTTACCTGTGTGGCTCCTGGCACGCTCAAGCAATCTCAAGATGCGAGCCCACGAATCAATCTTATCTTGCTGCTTGCCTCATGGCGGCCCACGGACAGTCGACGACGAGTGGGTTCAAGACGATCAGCGTGTACTGCATCGCTTCGAGATTCAGCAAATCTCGTCGGATTATGTGCACACGGGCGCTGTGCGGGTTCCCAATGGTGAGCCTTCCATGAAGGTGAGCTGATTGCAGACTGTGCGCTGACGGGAGCAACGACCTTAATTACTTCCGAACCAGACAGCAGGCGCAGACAGGGTCTGCAGGAACGCGCCGAAAAGCTGAACGGAAAGAGAGTTGTCTTCTTCAGGCATGTCCAGGCATTCGAACTAGTGCATGAAAGCAAGAAGTTCAATGTTGACCACTCAGGGATCTGCGACAGCAACTTTCTGTGGACGACCGGCACATGCAGTGGCAGGGATGCAGCAGAGTCCTCCTTGAGCTCTTGTCAAGCCTGCTGTCAGTCGGCACACGGAAGGGATAGATGCAAATCTTCATTAATAGATACCATAGATCACAAGGAGATACGGAGATCACGCCTGCAGCCTCTGTGGCTCGAGCCTTGTTACTGATGCCGAAGGGCAGCTTCAAGGGGGAGGGCCGTGGCCGCCGTCGTGGTTCGGCTTCTGCTAGGCCACGTGGGGCAGCCCCGCGGCAGCTGCAGGGCCGCGGAAGCGCCGCCGATGCAAGGAGCCAGAGCCAAAGCCGGCCGAGCCCCCCGAGTCCACGACCAGGATGGGACGAGGATACCCGCGCTCCGAGCCTCTTTGACAGCCGCCTGCGGAGGCACATCTTCCAGCCCTACAGCCGTGCCGCTGTGGAGAGCGTCATCACCGGACCGCGGCCTCGAAGAGCCCCGCAGGCTCGGGCAACTTTGCCGCCAGCTCCCCACCACAAGCCGGGGCAGCTGCGCCGTCGTGTTCAGGTCCCCCAGCCACCAAAGCCTCCGAAGCCCGTGGAGCTCAGTGCGACGGAAGAGGCCAAGCAACCTGAGCTCCAAGAGCTTGCTGCCAAGAGTGTTTTTGGCAGTGTCCCATCAGAGGCCTCGGAGCCTTTAACCTGGCCGAAACCCTTTCAGACGGCCCTGGTGTCCACAATGCCGGAGCAGCTTCAGGTCACGCACATGCAGAGAAGGCGTGCTATGGCCAGTCTCGGTGAGAAGCTGGCCATCCTCTTGCCGGATGGACGATCCGAGAGCGGCACTGGATCACTTCTGATCGTTCCCCCTGTTTCGGCCACCCGGCCACCTTTGCAGCCGGAACGGCCGGAACATCGGGAACGGGAGATTCTGCAGACGCAGGATACTCAGCTTGAGAGCCTTCGTCGGCAGCAAGGCATCAAGTTGATAGATGCCCCCATCCCTGCCAAAGTACAGAGCTTGTCCCAGAAGCTGTCGGCGCTGCTTGGGCCACCTGCACCCCAGCACTGCGACTCGCCAGAGCGGCGGCCAGCCGCAGAGCCCAGTCAGCTTCTCCGGTCCCTGGCTTGATTTATGGATCGCTTTGTTCGTGTTCTCTCCCTCCCTCTCTCTCTCTCTCTCTCTCTCTCTCTCTCTCTCTCTCTCTGTCGTTCAGTTTCTCTCTCCGTCCCGTTCGCGCCTAGGCAAAATGCTGCGGAGGTTGTTTGCAAGGACGGGCTGTGCTGTGCGGAGATGTTCAGAGCTCCACTCCTCTGCCTGTGTGGTCTAAAGATGCAGGTTGACTTGCTGACGGATGGAGTGTTGGAGCATCTCCTTGGCAGCTCGGCAGACTTTATCCGGTCGAAGGGCTCATTGCTGTCATGGAACCGCCGGCTTCTCCCAGGAGATGCGGTCAGCCGGCTGGATGCTCTACCAGAGAAGCGCCCTCAACAGCACAAAACGTGTGGCGGACCCAGTCATCTTTCGCACGATCGTTTTGCAGTTAAGCAACCTCTTCGATCCGAGGCTATGCGCCTGCAGAAGCTCGTCGGCCACAGCGAGACGAGCAAGAAGAAGACAGGCAGCTGCAAGACCCGAGGAGAGAAAGCTTGGGGAAGCTTGTGCGGGAGCCCAGACTGCCTGTTCTCCGGTCACCAGCATGTCGTCAGACATGCAGTATCATGATCATGCACATGCATGACTCGTACTTATGGAGCTGATGCATGGGATAAGTCCGCTCAGGTGCAGAATGCCGAAGACCGGTTGGAGATGTTGGAGCAAGAGCTCAAAGTGACGTACCTCCACCGGCAGGATCTCGCTGCTTCTTATCAATCAGACCATGCTCCCTCAAGATAGCGTAAGCCTGTGAAGGGAATCTTGGCAAGCGCAGCTTACTTCTCGGAAGTCGCAGTTGATGCATAGCGAGACATGGCAGAACTGCTACGGTGCAGCCTTGGAGGAGTCCACCTCTGCGAGGGGTGCCAAACAGGATCGGCGGGCATTGTGAGAAAGTTCGGCTTGAGACCTGGCCGACAGCTTCGTAGGCAGAGTCAGGGCAGAGTCGTAATTTCCGTGGTGTGCAGAGAGAATTGGCTCCAGCTCCAGGGGCAGGCGACCTGTTTTGGGTGCGAAACCCCGCAAACTGTCATCGACGAAAACTTCAGCGTAAGGCAGCTGTGTGATCTCAGTAAGTATATGACACTCGCTTTGTAGGTCTTCACGGCAAGCCATGGCAAGCAGGCTCCGAGGACGCAAGCGTCCTTGCACAAGAGATGCAGCTGAAGCCTCACCTGCCAAATGCGGGAAGTCCTCCAAGGTTCTGATGAGCGTGATGAGCGCGAATGTTATGGGGGATCACATGTTGCCGCTGCTCCCGCCACGCACGTTGCTTGCCGCAGCGATCTGCTCGCGAGAGGTGATGGCGAGACTTTCTCATGAAACGGTGGTTCGAAGTGTCCTGATCAGCGGCGGGGGGCATGGAAAGACCACCCTCCGCTCAATTCTGGCATTGGTCTGTGGTCAGAAGGCATTCCCCGACTCTTGGCCACCGTTTCGTGAATCGTCTCAGGGCCGCATCTGGATTCCCAGCCCCCTGCGGCTGCTTCGTTTATGCCTTGGGCGAACCTGTGAGATGCCACGTTGCAGTGGGAAAGTAAACCACATTCGCCCAGAATGGGGCCTCTTCGCCTGCTGGCCGTGCACACTCAACTCCACCCTCGAGGTAAAGAGTGCGAAGCAGTGGAGCTGCTACGGCCCCGCCTTGAAGCATCCGCGCACGTGCCGTGCGGATGGAAAGTTTCTTTGGAAACAGAGCTTGGTCAAGGGAAACGAGCGAGTCGGTCCAATAGTTACTGTGGACAGGCTACAAAGCCAAGCCCTCGGCGATATTCTTGCAGAGACGTCGGCGGCTGCTGCAGCGGATGCTCCGGAGGCTCAGAAGCTGCTGGAGGCTTTCCTGCCGGCAGCCGCCAAGGCTCGGCAACTCGAAGAAGCCGCTGCCGAGCTCAAGCAAGATCGGAAGGGCACCAAGGCAGCTAAGTTCGCAGAGGTCCGGGATGACATAGCCTCCCGTTTGAGCACCATGCCGTGGAAGGACATTGCAATGTCCGCACAGGAGGTCAGCAAGATCATTCAGCCATTCCAGAAAGCTCCGTCCAGCTACTTTAAGACGAAGAAGCAGGCTGCTGTAGTGGAGCAAGAGATCCGTCAGTTGTTCTCGGGCGTGGATCAGTCGGTCTTGGACTTGCGATTCTGCGATGACTCGATCTTCGGTCAAGCTCTACGAGCAGAGGCAGAGGCCATGGGTCCAACACTCTTCACGAAGGCTCCTCGAAGCTTCTTCGATCTCCTCTCGCGGTCTCTGAAGTCCGAAGCACTGCTTCAAAGGTGCAGCGTCGAAAAGGTCTTTGCAAAGGCGGTGGCTGCTCAGCTGCCTTCCATGCAGCCCTCTGACTCGGCACTTGCCGAGGACTTCGCTGTGGAGTATTTCAGAAGAGCCAAAACCCCAGAGCCAGCGGAAACAATGACAAGCCGATGCACAGAACTCAAGCGATTGTTTCCGGAGATGCTGGAGGGTTACAAGAGAATCCGGGACGCAGCTATGCACTACTGCGAGTGGGCAGCGGCACAAGGGACAGCGGCGCCGAGCCCAGCAGTCTGTGGAACCATTTTTACTTCAACCTCCGGTGGCCGCGGACGTGGCATCATTGTCCCTCCGACGAGGCCAGGCACATATTTGGCCCATCTTGAGGACGGTAGTGTCGAGGCATTTCGAAGGATTGCAAAGCAGCAGCTAGAAGTCAATGACAACGAAAGGACAGCCTGTCTGGACGAGGACTGCCAGCTTCTGTCTCCGTCAGGGCTTGTGCGAGCCGGCGACTTGCGAGCCGGGGACGCGGTCCACACTGGCACAGGTCCAGCCAAGATTGTCTGTGTGACCTGGGGCAGAGAGCGCGGTGATATGTGCAAGGTTAATGGCGTCTGGCTCACGCCGAAACATCCTGTTCGCACAGGCGTTGCCTGGTTTCTCCCTCAAGACGTAGCCCGGCGCGAAAGGCACGGCTGCGGCGTCGTCAACTTCGTGCTGGAGCATGGTCACTCTGTGATGGTCAGGGCCGGACAGATCATCTTGGAAGCCGTGACGCTCGGCCATCAGCAGCGCGATGCTGCAGCTGCCGTGCCGGAGGGCCGATTTGGCAGCAAGGCTTACGTGGACTTCCTCACACGGCAACCTGACTTTCCGCATGTGTTCCTGCCAAAGAAGTCTGATGCTCGCCCACAGCCAGGCTGTCCCCGTGAGGATAACTTCTGATTCTGAGAAGGAGCCATCCTTGAACTTGCTGCAGCCTGTCTCCAACACATCTTCGGTGATCCATTCCGGTGAACCTCGCACAGCCTGTTGGAGATGTGTTTCGGTGATCCATTCCGGTGAAGCTCGCACAGTTTGTCTCCAGCTCGTTTTTCGGTGATCCGTTCCAGTGCACCTGGCACAGTGTGTCTCCAACGCAACTTTGGGTGATCCGTTCTGGTGAACCTCGGGCGATGCTTGGACCCTGTTCATATGTACATATGTGTGTTTTGTTGTGGCCAGTGCTCTTCCAAAGGCAAAGCTCGAAGAGCTGCGTGTGCAAAACATGCCTCTTCAGCGCTTGCTTTAAAACTTGAGTCTGGGCCCATGCCATTGCAACAGCTTGACCATGTTTTGCTTTGGAGAAAAAGAAGGCGGAGGGTCGCAGAGAGTGCACGGTGTTTAGATGCTGCAGAAGTGTCCAGTTGTTGAACTTATTGGCAGCGGTGGCAGGAAGTTCGCCATTTGCCCGCGAGCTTTCGAGGAGCGCCAGAAGAGGAGGAAGAGGTGGGCTACAGGTGGTTATTGGGTGCGTAGTTGCTACGACTTGTGATCAGTGCGACGACTCACTTCATTTGGTATTCCTGCCTCGTCTGGATGTCACAGCGAACTGCCGCACATTATTGAGGTACAAGGAGGGGTCAACATCGCAGAGAAATTTTGCACAATTTCCGTCAGCCATGCTGTCGCAGGGCTGGAGATTCGCTTCGCTGCCAGCAGCACGGATCCGTGAGCTGGAGCGATACCGCAACTCGACTGTCCGAAGCGAGCGGAAATGGGAGAGTTTCTGTGCGCCGATGCCACGTTCGGGGAGCAACATAGCAGTTTTGTGTGGTGCCGAGGTGCTCGCTTTGCCCGGCACTGCCTGGCAGCCCGGGAGGTGAGAAGACGGTGGTTGCGATATTGGCGATGACAGTTCATGTCAAGTAGGTGTAAGGAGGATTAGTAAATAAGCTCCTAAAAACCCTAAAACTAAACCCTAAACCCTAAACTCTAACCCTAAACAACAGGGGTCCCGAAACAACAGGGGTCGCTCTGTCAGGCAGGGATCCAAAGTGGTCCTGGAGCTCGGACTGCCACCTGGGCCCGATGCCCAGATGACGGGATCCGTTTCCATAATAAGAAAGCCATATTAACCATATTATTTACGATAGATCCCTATTATGGTAACTTACATTAAAGGGGCTTCTCGCAAGAGTCGGGCGTTTAGGGATTCAAGGTGTTTTTTTGGGGTGTTACAGCGATTACAGTCGTGAGATGATATCGAACTATCGAAATCATGCACGATCCTTCAAGGTGATTTGGCCATTTCTTGCGGACAGCATCGCCATGGCTGCAGTGGAGGCGGCCATTGAGGAGGTGGATGCTGCCATGGAGGGGTACGTTGCCTGGCACTTTTCAGCCTTCTGCGTTCTAGTCGGTTCCACCGGATGTGCTTAGGCTTAGCCCTTCCGCCCGAGAAAATCTGGACACTGTGATTGTCTGGCCAAGCACTATCAACTATCACCCATGATTCCCAAATCGCACTGACATGGTGGTTTTCAGTGGAGTTTACAGTACACATAGTAGGCTCCAATGCAATAAGAGTCTTGCCTTCGTGAGGTTAGTGGCTTGATGGAGCTGGAGATTGGGGAATGCGAAGATGACGACGTAGCCACTGCGCCTGTGTAGTGAAAAGAGGCACTCGGATGATTCCATTGCAGTTTCTGGCCGTGAATCTATCGGGCTGACCATAATAAGGGCTCAATACGGCTTTAATAAGGGCTTAGCGAGGCCCAATAAGGCTTCAATGCAGGCTGAATCGGCTTTATATGGTGAGGCAGCATCGCAACCTCCAGCCAGCCGCGAGAAGACTCGGTTCGAGCAGTTAGTCTGATAGGCATAGGACACTTCATCCTCTACATACTTGAGCTTGGTATGCTGTTGAGCTGCACAGCGTCGAAACCGAGTGCCTTGGAATTGCAAACGAGATGATGGGACGCGTTTGTGCCTGGAGCCGTTCCATCGTTGAGAGTTAGATTCCTACCTGCCTGGCTGCCTGCCGTCGCGCGTCTCCATGCCGGCTGGAGCGCTGAAGGCTGCTCTGGATTCCAGTTTCTTGGTCGCCAGTTCTGCCACTTGGCGAATCAAGGGCCAAGAAATGGGTTTGCACGCCCCGATACGCCTGCCTATTATATCTCAGCAGTGGCTGCCTGATTTGAGGGCACCGAGCTGAGATCCAGTGTGGGCAGCGGGCTCCTGAGCTGTCGCCTGTGCCGAGTTTCACATTGCTGTGACACGCTTTTGTCGGGACCCTCCCTGTCGCTTCAGCGACTGCAAACCAAGGCCCCTTCGATGTCAGCGATGCAAATCCTGTCCAGAACGGTGCCACGTAGGTTTCGAAGATGGCAAAAGCACACTGCAGCATCCGTGTACATTGAGCAAAGACATTTGTAAAGTAGTCAACACGACATCATAAGGGAAACACCTGCCGCTGGACTTTGGGTCTCATGTCCCGTCTGCAGGACTTCTCGGCGTGGCTGCAGCGAAATCTGGCTGCCTAACGCTCCGTCATGCTGGATTGTGAAACCAACTGGCAAGCAACTGCACATGAAGGAGAAGGAATGCAGTTGTCATCGGCAATACGTAGTCATCAGTTGTTAGTACTTAAGCAGATTGCTGCACACGACGCAAGCTCGCTCTGTTACAGAGCTGGGTTGAGAGTTCAATGATATTAATTTTAGAGCCGTGGCTGCGCACCAAGGGCTGGGTGGCGCAGTGAAGCAGGTCGGGCACCAGGGATGCAGAAAAGGCGGTTGCAAATACAAAGCCTCCAAACCCCTCAACTCCCAAACCCAGAACCCTACAAATCCTAAACCCTAAACCTTGTAAATCCTAAACCCTATAAACACATATATCACACATATACACACACACGTAATCAAGGGAAGCTGCAGACTTGCCTGAGAGAGTGACGATGATCGCAATAAGCGCACCGGGCAGAAAGCTGTTGAAAAGATGGGTTTACGGTTTAGGTTTTATAGCCATAGGTTATATATATATACACACACACACACACGCACGTACACATACACATAATGGCAACCGTGAAGCTGGATGTTAAAACATACGTAGCTATGGGATGAGAGTTGCTGTGACCTGTGCTGCCCTGCAGACCATCCTGGACATCGCCTCAGTTTCGCGTTTCGGCGTTTCGCCTCCTGGGAGCAGGAAAGGCCGGGGGGCTTGGCCTTTGCCGCGGAATCCGAGGACTGGGTCCACTTCCCGCTTCCAAGCGGCCTCGAGAAAATCTTGGGCTGAAACGCTCAGTCCTGTCAGCCTTTCATGTGCCAGCAATACGCAGATGTGCTCCGGATGTGCTCGCAATCCGGATTCGAGGCCGCACTCACGCTGGACCTGAAGATGCGGAAGTGACTTGCCGCAAGTTCCACAGTCACATTTGCGTCGATGCAAAGCCTGTGGGAATCGTTTTCGTTTCGAAGGGGCGGCTCGGTGCGGGCCCGCCCTCGCCGGGGGTGTCTGGACCGTTTCCGTCTCGCCCCTCAGGAATCCATGCGTCACGGCCTCTGCACAGTGGCACTCCTTGTTGCGCTTGCCCTCCTGCGGCTGAAAGGTGGCACCCGACCGCCAGGAACGCTCTCTACAGCGAGGCCTGGCGGAGCAAAACGAACTAGTGCAAGAGCGTGGCAGCTGATTGTGTTCTGCGTTGTTCAGCCTGGCAGGTCAACAACCCGAATCGACCCGAACCCCCGCCGAACTGGCCAAGGGGTGTCACCTGGCCCCCGCACCCTCCGGACTTGTTTGCACCATGGGCGCCCAGTTAAATGCATGCGAGAAGCCGTGGCAGGCGCCGTTGTCGACAAGAATGGCAAGTGGTGGCCGCCACCGGGTTGGGCGAATGGGGTCCTCCCCGCAGGTGTCGCTGTTTGGGATGGTAAACTCTCACGACGAGATGTGGAAGCGTTTGAGGGGACCTTGGCCGAGGTTGGCGCAGAGAACGGCTGCGCATGGGCCCCATGATCTCCGATGTCTTGTGTTGCGTTCAGACTTGGTGCACACAGTGCTTCAAAACTCCGCACACCGGCTGAGCCAAGGGGCCGGCGAGATGGATTTACAGCTGCGGGTGGCGCAATCGTGACGACTGGGCGGCTTGATCTCCCAATTCAGGAAAGAACGCAGGACCATAGTAAGGAGAGGCAACATGCCCTGTTCTGCCCTTTGATTTGAGAAGTCATTCTTCTTCTGCTTCGTGCTCACTGTCAGACTTTCAGGGGTTCTATGGCAAGCCCTTCATGAGGGCCCTGTGCCTACTGCGATCCAAGGGCAAAGATGCGACTTCAGTTTGGTATGATCCAGCCCACCAGCTGGCAGGCCTTAGGCTACTGTTGCTTGTGGTAGGTTTAGGGTTTGGGGTTTAGGGTTTAGGGTCGGTTTGGAGCAGACCATCGGCCAAATTCTCGCGCAGACGACTGCATATAGCCAGGGATCCTTGCATGGTAGCCTCGCCAATCTGCGCCGTTCTGCCAGAAGCGGGCAACAACCCACGCCGTCTTCTTGCCAAAGAAGCACGAGAAGCTTGCCTGAGAGTGTTGGTGCTTGAGGCCTTGAGCCCACGTTTTCAGTCAACTTCACTTTTTCCGGCTGCTGGGCACTTTTTCTCGGATTCTCATTCCCATCCTCACTGAATAACTCCTTTCTGTGGACAGAACTTGCTACCCCAGCTGCTAACTTCAGGCACCCCCAATCGGCCTTGAAATGCCTTGGCCTCCCGAGCTCAAAGTCCTCCCAAACATCCCTAAACCCTAAACCCTAAAACCCTAACCCCTAAAACCCTACACCCCCTCAAAAAAAAACTACACCCCAAGAACCCTCAACCCTAAATATCCGAGTCCTCGGGCCCTGGCCCGGCCCTTCACTCCCGCTCAGGACGACGCTGCATACCTGGAGAGCTAGTGGTGGTTCTGGCGGCTTCAGATTTTGGGAGTCCGTGGTTCTTGGCTTAGGGTCGCGTCAGAGTGGCCTCGAATGGCTTCAATTCTCATCGTTCTTTGTGATTGTGGCCTGAGTTACATGGTGATGGTGAGATTGAGGATGACGCGGCTAATGATACCTTGGATCTCGATTACGTGTGGTGTTGCTGGTGGTGGATTTGATGAAAAGCAAGTTCAAGATCCAGTGGGTGCACGAGATGGTCCACCCCTGATGTTATGCCACGAAGGACCCTCGCACAGAGAGGTCTAGTGTTTTTATAGTAGCATTACTATTCACATTCTTGAACTGTAGTGGACGCTACAAGTCGGAGCCATTCGCAGCCTATCAAGGCCAACTTAGAACATCTTAGAACCTCACATCGGAATATTTCTCTGCAGCCTACCTTTCTGCCTCCGAACCCCTGCAAATCCTCGGCCGTCACTCCTGCATTCTGACGGTAATTGCTCCGACTGGTAGTCTTCCTCTTCGACAGATGCCTGGGACAGCTGTTGTCAAAATCAACAACGGCAACAACAGCACTAAGGTGTCTCACCACCGTATCAATACGAGAACCAGCAGCATTCTTCTTTGAAGCCTTTATGCAGCCCTAAACCCCTAAACCCTGAAAGCCCTAAACCCTAAAAGCCCTAAACCCTAAAACCCTAAACCCCAAAACCCGTAAACCCCAAAAACCCTAAACCCTAAAAACCCTAAACCCTAAAAGCCCTAAACCCTAAAAGCCCTAAACCCTAAACACCCTAAAATCTAAAAGCCCTAAAAACCCTAAAAGCCCTAAAACCCTAAACACCCGAA